GCCTTGAGATGAGATGTGTTGTAAATTGGCGCTATAGAAATAAACTGAATTGAATTGAATTATGGCTTAGAAAACATGCAAATTGAACCAGAAGAACAGGTCCACTGCTTAGTAATGGAATGGTTGGATGACTGAGAATCTTCACCAGCTTATTGGAGGTATGTTAACTGATGGTACTGCAGCCAGTAAACCTGCAAATCCTTTGCTTAGGTTCTAGAATATTTTAACTAGGTTGGAAATGTTAGGTAGAATTTACCAGAAGCCTTTAAGGCTTTGATCCAAATACCTCCGATTGCAGCTCCTACATCCTGCTTATAGCCTGAGCGTTTGAAAATGTTCTGAGACTCACAGACAGGAACCAGGAACCGGCGTTCAGACTCTCAAGCTCGCTCCAGGTGAACATGGCAGCAGGGGTGTTGGTCCGGTTTGGAAAAACCTCATGGATGTTGGTGGTGCGTTGGAGGTTGTGGTCATGCATGAGGAATGGCACACCATCATAACTGCAACCACGATAAGACAAAGGAAGCCTCAGTGAAGCCTAAAGAGAGCTGTTAGCCACTGTCGTCTCTACAGCCGAACCTTTACTCAGTAAAGCTGCAACATGTTTGGTTCTAGGTGGCATCAAGCTACACCCACATGCTACAAACTGACCTTATAGCAACGTCTGTCTCCAGGCCGTCACATCCAGCTTCCACCGCCTTCTCAAAGGACATCAGTGTGTTTTCTGGAGCGAGCTGCACAGCGAGGACCAACAGAATCAGAACCTTAACTTCCTGCTGCAGTAACTCAGTGTTAATAACTGGATTAATCAGCCAATACAAACAGGCATCACCTCCAAGATCTAAATCACTTCTGCCAGAATTTAAAAACTGGATCTGACTGAAACACGGGTCTATTTCCCAAAATATGGAAATAATTTTTAATACCTTCAGTAAGTTAAATTTCAGAGTCATTAGACATAAATTTCATGTTTAAGCCTTTACTTATTTTTGAGGATTATTATGGCTTCCATGTAATGAAAACCAAAAAAAGTGATAACTTCAGTCCTAAATGTTGTTTTCCCTTCTTTATTTTTACTGAATTGTTAATAGATATACAATCACCGGCCACTTTATTAGGTACACCTGTCCAACTGCTCGTTAACACTTAATTTCTAAGCAGCCAATCACATGGCGGCAACTCAGTGC